ATAGCTGCACCATAGAAAGCATCCTACCTGGTTACATCACAGCTTGGTATGGCAACTGCTCTGCCCAAGACTGCAAGAAATTACAGAGAGTTGCAAACACAGCCCAGTACATCACACAAACCAGCTTTCCATCCATTGACTCCATCTATACTTCCTGCTGCCTTGGGAAAGAAACCAACATAATCAAAGATCCCTCCCAATCCGGTCATACTCTCTTCCACCCTTGTCTGCCAGGCACATATGAACAGATTCAAGAACAGCTTCTTCCCCGCTGTTATCAAACTTTTGAACAGACTTCTCAAATGCTGGTTCTGATCCATCCCTCTACACCTTCTCTGCGGATATAACACTGTATTCTGCACTCTGTTCTGCTACCCTGATGCACTTTGTATGGTACGATTTCCCTGTATAGCACGCAAAACAATACTTTTCACTGTATCTTAGTACATGTGACAACAATAAATCAAACTCAAACTCAATCATCTGGAAGGATAAAGGCATCAGATACATGGGAACACCACCACCTGCAAGTTCCCCTCCAAGCCACTCACCATCCTGACTTGGAAATATGTTGCTGTTTCTTTGCTGCTGGATCAAAGTCTTGTAACTCCATCCCTAGTGGCACTGGGGGTCTGCACCAAATGAACTGCAGCAGTTCACTGACATCTCAAAGGCAACTAGGGATGGGCGATGCCTACATCTCCTGAATGAATAACAAATCAAACATCAACACTTGAAAGATGGGAGTCATTTGCAACTGATGCTCAATGTTAGTTTGAAAATTGAATTGAAATGTTTATTTGGTAGCTATTCTTAGGCATTAAGAGAAATAGAAGAAAGCTGAGCACACAAAATTAGGTCAATTGTGAACTCAACTGATCCAAGAATCGGATCAAGGGGCTAAATGCCCTCCTCTTTTTTTTTAATTTTCCAGTGGCAGGAATACTTTGAGTGACTATTAACAGATTGGGTTACCAGCTTGGTTGGTAACACACATTGTATTATCTGACCTCTCATCTTCAACCTTCCTACCCCAGCTAAACATTGTCTTCTCATCACCTTGAATATTTTTCTTACTAATAAATAAATGTTCAAGGAAAGAATAAAACAAACATTATTTTTAACAGCACTTTGGGCTTTCTCTCCTCCAGGAAGTGTCCCAGAGACTGCAGGGCAAGCTTGGATTGTGGACAACTCTAAGCTGAGCGAACTAGACAAGAATAATAGTGGTTTTTGGTCCTGACGCCAGTGAAATAGGTGAGGTTAGTGCAAAACACATAGATGTTGTATGAATATGTTCAGATTGCGGAATAACTGGTATTAAAGATCCAACACATCAATGTGGTTTGAGCCTCATGGGTTTCACCATTTCACCAATAGCTTCAACCAGTTTCAACAATTGCATTCCATGGTTTACACAAAAGGGAAATGTGTTAGAGCCATCTTTTTATCCATTGATCAGATTTTAGAAAAGTTTGGAAACTGAGTGATAAATTTTGGGCAGTGATATGAACTAAATCCATGGCCTGAAATGCCACAGTCTAGAAAACTGCCCTCCAGAACGAGAATCAGATTGAAGAAAATAAAGTTGCGAGTCAAATGCTGGACAGGTTTCATTGTCACTTACTCTGGAGAAGTCGAAATGTGGCTCGTACTGTCCTCCAACTCCATAATTCGCTACCTGTAACAAAGAAACAGACTGATGAGAGGCACCCGCTCATAGGGGCTTCAGCTAGCAGCTTACAGAGGAACACATCGCAGCTGTGGTGTAAATTTCATACCACAAAACAGAATTTTTTCTGACCGCAAAACACCATCAAGCAGATTCTATGCTAACGCTTTTTGAACCTGTGGTCAGCTTCACTTGTAGCAGTTACGTGTGCCTTGCCCCAACACTTATTTAACCCATTGATGATCAAAAAACATTTTGAAAAGATGGTCTATGGATTTTCCACTGTTGTTTTTGCTTGAATGCATTGAATGTTGGAAAGATGAAAAGAAAATAAATCTGACCTACATTTAACAAAGGCAAGCTCTTTCAAAGATCTAGTACAGACACAACAGGCTGAAAAGCCTCTTTCAGCACAATACTATTTTATGTGGGAACATCTTGATTCAGAATTCCATCAGTAGAAACATTAGTCAAAGGCTTGTAAAGACATTATTGAGTCTCAACATCCATCTGTCTGCTTTAACTCTTTCACCCATTCAGAAGATTGTAAGCATTAAAACTATCTGATACATTAAATATCTTTCTTTGACTGTGGAAATGGCAATCGTGTACTCTCAAAGTTTAGGTGATGGTTTGGCTTCATTCTCAATGTTAGTGACTTTGAAGGTTTTTTTCCTCTCCACAGTAATCGGTTAGCCTTCCCTTGTGTTCACTACCTGCTGTCCACTGTGTGTGGATTCCAGGCAAAAACAGATTCATCATTGGCTGGGATACTCCTTCTGAATCAGGATCAGATTGATACAGGAGAGGAGGATGACTGCATTGGCTTGTTTTGCCTGTTCCTGTTCTCCGAAAGCGATAGTTAATTAATACCATTTCCTCATTCTTTCCATGTAGTCTTAGAAATTTTTCTGCCTTCGTGAACTGATCCCGTTCCCTTTTGAAAGCTCTGGACGAATCTGGTTCCACACTATTGTTTTGCCATGTGTTCTCGGTCATAGAATTCATCTGCGTTGATATATTTCTCCTCATATTACATGTTCTTTTGTCATTCATCAGGACAGGAAGCTACAGAAAGTTGGAGGAGTGGCTCTGTGAATTAGTTGTGGCATTGACCGCAACAGAGAGGGAATTCAGGAATCTAGGATGTGAAAGCGGTTACATAGAGCTGAGAAATTATCAAGGCATGAGGTGACTAATGGGAGTAGTTTACAAGACCCCCCCTCCAACAAAATCCACATTATAAATGGAATATAAAAGAATAAATAATGGGAGCTTATCAGAAAGATACAGTGATAATCATAGAGGGTTTTAAGCTGCATTTAGAGTGAATATCGGATGAGTAAAGGTAGCCTAGATGAGGAGATCTTAGTATATTTGTATATAATTTCGTAGCACAGCACATTTTGGAGGCAACCAGAGAGCAGACTAGGCTAGATCAGATCCTGTGGAAGGAGACAGAACTAATCAATTACCTCACTGTGAAGACACATTCTTAGCATCAGTGCTGGGATTTCAACTTTTTATAATTTTATAATAGGACTTGGATGAAGGAGGAAAAGCTTCAGTTGCTAAATTTGCTGATGACACAAAGGTAGGTAAGAAAATGAGCTGTGACACAGGAGGCTACAAATAGATATTGATAAGTTGAGTGAGTTAGCAAAGATCTGGTAAATGCAGTATAATTTGGGAAAATATGAATTTGTCCATTTTGGCAAGAAGAATAAAAAGGAAGCATATTATCTGAATAGTGACAGATTGCAGACCTGAGAGATGCAAAAGGATCTGGGTGTCCTTGAGTATGAATCACAAAAATTTTAGTAGTCATTTCTCTCCATAAGCTAAAACTCTCAAGCACACGTGACAGCCTGGTAAATCTCCTCTCCACACTCACCAGTACTATCACATCCCTTCTATAATGTGGACTCCAGAACTGCACACAATTCTCTTGCTTTGGTCTAACCAACATTTATATAGTTCCAGCATTCCCTCCATGCTCTTAAAATCTATGCCATACTATCTGCCTTTCTTGCTACCTCTTAAGGTACCTGTGGACATACACAACAATGATCCTTGGTACATCCTAGGCTCCTGCTGTTCATCATATATTCCCTTGCCTTGTTTTTCTGCTCACGTGCATCACCTGATTTGCATGATTTTATTATTTTCAGGCATTTGTGATGGAAACATATAAAAACCTAATAGTTAAATCCCTTTTGCATTAATGAGTGGCCTAGGTTCAGGACCACTCTTAATTTGGTCAGTGCAAAACGCGAGCAATCTTCCCTGAATTTCTTACATTTGGGCTAACCTGTGGGCATCCAACAAGTGAGGTACCTTTAGTTTTACATAAACTCCCACACACAGTCTGTTTATAGAGTACCTTCAACAGAATGAAATATCTCACATTGAATAATAGGAGTTTTATCAAACAAAATTTGACATCAAACTACATTAAGAAAGGTGGAAGTGAAGAGAAAGTAAAGACAACAGCAGCAGAGGCAGGGGACCACAATGACTTGCAAATTCTCCTCCAAGCGACTGACTTGGAAATATGTCGCTATTCCTTCACTGTCACTGGGTCAAAATCCCAGACTCCCTCCCTAACAGCACTGTGGGTGTAACTACACCACATGGACTGTGTTGTTCAAAGGCAGCTCACCACCACCTTCCATTGCAATTAGGTGTAACTAATAAATACAGGCCCGGGCAGTGCTGTCCAACATCCCACACATGAATAAAAATGGTGTTAGGCCAGATGACTGAGTGAAATCCTGGTCTAAAATGTAGGTTTCAAGCAGTGACTTAAGTACGGGGGGGAGACAAAGAGTGAGAGGGGAAGAATAACAGAGAGACTAATGGTGAGAGGTTCCGGGATTAGCTTCCAGGCAATTGATGGCACGGCAGCCAATACTGCAACAATTACATACTAGGGATGCTGAAGAGGCCAGAATTGGCAAATGAAGAAATCTCGGAGGATTGTGGGGACTGAGGAGATTAAAGAGAAGCAAGGACTTAATAATGCTTAACAAGGAGTCAGTGGAAGTCAGCAAGCACATTGCTGATAGCGTAATAGTGCTTTCTATGATTTGGAATATGAATAACATAGCTTTGGGAGCCACTCTTTGGGATAGCATTGGAAGAGTCAATTCTTCGAGTAACAGAAACAGGGATGAGGGTTAGAGCATTAGATGGACTGAGATGGGGGCAGAATCAGGCAACATTTTGGAGGTGGCAATAACAAGTCTTAGTGATAGTGAGTGGAATCAGGAACACTCCTACCACTAAGGTAGGCCCTCTCTATCATCAAAGATTCTTATACCTGTTAATGGGTCTGAACTGTATGTTAGGTTATCACTTGCAAACCCTTGGTCACTTTATACTGCAGATTCAGGAGATGTGAACCAAATACCTGAAGTAACTCCGCAGTGTCCACTTCCAAGCCTGTAATGTCCTCTATTCGTTGATTGACTCTATTCACAACGGGATCTTCATCATCATCCAACCACGCACTACAGAAAGGAAGTAACACACAAAATAGAACACAAATGGGAGGTACATCCAAACTGGGGCAACGTAGTTGGACAAAACTGGACAGGCTGAAGGTCCAATAATGTATATTAATAAGACATGCTGATGTCACAACAGTGCATAACTAGCATTCTGTTGATCTCCAGAATCTAGACTCCAAAGTAGGACCAGATAGATTGATGATTTATTTTAAAAAATTAAAATCGCTGCCAACCTCACAAAAGTGAGATGTCATCCAGTATTGTGATTTCCCACAGAAACAATTACTAAGGATTTTTTTACTGATGATGTTGCAATTGAACAGAATAAGATGCAAGAGAACTTAGAACAGGAAGAGACTGATATAGTGACAAACTAGATCACAGTTACACACAAATAGTAACGCACTAAACCACAGGGGCACAGTGACTAGCAACATATCGTACCCATCTTCAATTTGAAACCAGCAATTTATATGGTCCGACATTTGCTCCTTTTATTTCAGAAAGTTCCACCATGGATAGATTTGTATTGCAGGTCAGGAAAGAGGAGGCAAGTTGATAAAGAGTTTTAGATTAAATTAAGAATCCACTGTTTCAGTAGCATGCCTAACAAAAGTTCAAAAGCAAAGCTGCCAATTATCGTGTGATGTACCAATGCATGTGTTGTTTAATGACTATCATACCATGTGACTGAAAAAGCTGTATCAAACGTATTGAATCAGCAGCCCACTTTACATCCCACACCTTGATTCTGTCAAGTAAAACAGGTTGCTGGTTTATTACTGTGCAGCTTGCACTTGCAGCTTGCCCTACAGCAATCCAAATGCCCGCCCCACCCCCAGCAGTGTGATGTAACGAAAGAGGTTGTGGAAAGGTGCTTTACCAGATACCAGAATCATACAGCCTCCAGTCTACTGGCAAAGCCAAAAGATTGCAGAGAGGAACCTGGATATTTTTGTTCATGAAATAATGAAAGTAATGACAAGCAAGCACAGCAAGCAATTAGGAAGCTCAACGGTATGTTAGCCTTTGATAGAAAGGAACATGGCGATAAAAAGACAAGAAATCTTACAACAATTGTATAGGGCATTAGTGAGGACTCCTGTGGTGCAGTGGTAGTATCCCTCAAATCTTATATCAGAGCCAGGAAGCCTAGGTTCATGTCTTACTTACTCCAGAGGTATGTCATAACATCTCTGAACAGATTAGAAAGTATCAACTGTGCCAAACCTTCTGCCATTTTGGTCTCATTACCTAGAATAGCTATACTTCTCTGAGAGAGAATATAACACACTGAAGTGGTGGCCCCTTGATTAAGAGGGTGCCTTGTGAAGACAGATTGAGTGGAATAGTCTAATAGTAGAGATTATATGACAGATGATCTTACAGAAGCAAACAAAAAAGACTCTGAAGATACTTGACAGGATAGATCCTGACAAAATGGCTGAGATTTTGTTAGGCCAATGTAAATCTTGTCCAGCTGTCGGCAAACCAATGCAGAAATCTTTTTCAGTTCTGTGGCCAGCTTAAGGACTGATGAGACTGGTGACATCACCTGGCTGTGAATGGGTTTAGGACACAGCCAGGTAATCACCCCCTACATCCATGGGAAGCGATGGCCTAGTGGTATTGTTCCTCTATTGTCAATCCAGAAACTCAGCTAATGCTCTGGGGACCCTGATTTGAATCTCACCACAGCAGAATTTGAATTCAATTTTTAAAAAAATCTGGAATTAAGAATCTAATGATGAACCACCTGGCTCCCTGATGCCCTTCAGGGAAGGAACTCTGCCATTCTCACTGAGTCTAGCCTACATGTGACTCCAGACCCATAGCAGTGTGATTTACTCTCAACTGCCCTCTGAAATTCTTAAATAAATCATATTCATAGAATCTCTACAGTGTGGAAGCAGGCCATTTGGCCCACTGAGTTCACACCAACCCTCCGAAGGGCATCCCACCCAGACCCATCCCGCCACCCTGACCCTGCGACCCCGCATTTTCCCGTGGCTAATCCACCTAACCTACACATCCCTGGACACAATGGACAATTTAGCATGGACAATCCACCTAACCTGCACAACTCTGGACTGTGGGAGGAAACTGGGGCACCCGGAGGAAACCCACGCAGACACGGGGAGAATGCGCAAACTCCACAACAAACCACTTAGTTCGAGGGCAACTAGAGGCAGGCAATAAATAATGGCTAGCCAGTGATGCTCATTTCCCACAAGTGAATTGAAAACAGTGCAATCAATGTCTGTCATCACTAGTAGCACAGTGGTACTGTCCACGCTGGTTCACACTTCAAATATAAAAGGAGCGACAACACTCAGTTGCCCAATCACCACCATCTCATTGCCCTTTCACCAAACTTAGGACAATCTACACATCCAAGAACATTTTCATGCTCTGAACAAGGTTGCAATCACAAAAGATATCCTTCTGAATTCAGCACCACTTGCCTGTCCCCTCAGGTTTGTTGATGCAATCCAGTGTGGCTGCCTTGCTCGTGCGGCCTTGTTGGCTCAATCAGGCAAGACAACTGGCACGGTGAGGTTTTAACAACAAGCTAGACTCTGCACATCTGACACTTTCCATGAGCTGATTAACATGGAGGGGAGAGTGGAATTATCGCTGGACAATTCATCTAGAAACTCAGCTAATATTTTTGGGGTTTGCCACGGTAGATAGTGGGATTTGAATTCAATAAAGAATCTGGATTCAAGGGTCTAATGATGACCATGAAACCATTGTTGATTGTCTGCAAAAAACCCATCTGGCTCACTAATGTCCTTTAGGCAAGGAAATCCTTGCCTGGTCTGGCCTAGATGTGACTCCAGATCCACAGCAATATGGTTGACTCTTAATTGCCCTCTGGCCAGTAAGAGATGGGTAATAAATGCTGGCCTAGCCAGAGGATGACCACATTCCATGAGGGAGTAGAAATGGAGAGACTTTGATCATAGGATTGCAAGCACTTGCACAGAAATTATTTTTTTTCTGAAGTAGCCAAGCTAATGAAGACATTTTCATTCTGCAGAGCTTAGCAGATGATGAAGTCTATCCCATCAGGTACATGCCTCATATCTCTAATGGAGTTTTTGAATGGCTGTGTTTTAGTGAACACGATTGCATCTGTGAATGTAATTACAGCAACCTAGGGTATTAATTAGTATTCATGACATGCAAAACGGGTTCCTGCCTGTTATGGTCAGGAAACTCAACACAACTAGAAGTTTCTGTAAACCTACTCACAAACGTCTAACAGGAAACAGAAATTTGCCTCCTGCACATTCAAAATCCCCTGCCTGGCCTCCTGAGAGCTCCCAACAGGCCTAGAAAATCCCACCTGTGGTTTCCTTGAAAGAAAATCTTAAATTCCATTCCAGATGGACACAATTCTAGAACACAGCTTGCATCTATTCACTAACAAGACAACTTCAGAGAATAGATCCACAGTGACTAGCATGAGAGGAGGCCGATGTTGACAGAATTTGCCCCAGTGAGCAGGAGGACATTCTCTGGAATTAAGAAGATGTGGAAAAACTGAACTTCCATTCACCGGCAGCAAAGGTCCACAAACTAATCAAGTGCTTAACAGTAGCAAACCACCATATTTCCGACCAAAAAGCAGACAGCTGAACAGCTTCATGGTGCCATCTGCTGTCGATTTTAATAACGGTCAGCTTCTGCCTTGTAACCCTTCTCGTGTTGTAAATCATAAAGGTTACTTCTCAGAATTTTCCGAGGCATCACAAGATCTACTTGGAATTCAATGATCTAAAAGCTTTTGAATTTTGCTGGCTGAATACATCATCAGTCACTGCAAGGAAAATTGGCACCATACAACACAGCATAGAGCTTCTTTCAGTAGTGGTGACGATTGCTATCATTGATTGATTCAAAAATCCACCCAGTTCACCAATGCCCTTTAGAAAAGGCCAGATAAGGTAGGATCACAGACATGTGATCACAGACCCTCATCAATGTGTTTTGTTCTCAACTGCTCCCAAAAATGGCCCAGCAAACCCCTCGATTCTTGGATAAATATGGACGAGCAGCAAATACTGCCCTTGATAGCAATACCCAGATCCATAAAAGAATAAAAAAAATTCATAAAATCATCCGAGCACTCTAAAACTCTGGAACTCTCTCAGACTTTTCTCCCTTTCAAAGTCTACATGCTACCTTTAATTACCACTTCTGATTTACCTCATCTTCTGCTCCTGATTCTCTCAGCTTTGATCTGCCACATAATGTGCCCTGACATCTTCTCCACAAAATTCCCCTGTTTTCCTCTTTTACTGTAGTTATTGCATTTCTGTCTCTGGTTGGGGGGAAAAAAATCACCAAGTCTGGACTTTAGGCTACTCTTTGATCTGCCCAGTACTGTGACTGGAACAGTTCCCATCCTTAGAAGCATGCTGTTATAACACTGCCAGGCAATATTGGAATGGATGAAACTCACACAAGGATAACTGTTAAATTTGAACGAATAAGACATTCAAGTACTAACCCAGACTTATAGCAGTGTAAGAATGGTTTACATTGTTAAAATATAATAATCTTCCTGAATAAAATGAGAACAATTACATCAAACTCTCCAACTATGTAAATTCTTACAGATTCTCTACAGTGTGGAAGCAGGTCATTTGGCCCACTTAGTTCACACCAACCTTCCAAAGAGCATCCTACCCTGACCCAAGCCCCTACCCTATCCCTGTATTTCCCGGGACTAATCCACCTAACCTACACATCCCTGGACATAATGGACAATTTAGCATGGCCAATCCACCTAACCTGCACATCTTTTGACTGTTGGAGGAAACTGGGGCACCTGGAGGAAACCCACACAGACACGGGGAAGAATGTGCAAACTCCACACAGACAGTCCCCCGAGGCTGGAATCGAACCTGGGTCCCTCGTGCTGTGAGGGAGCAGTGTTAACCAGTGAGTGACTGTGCCGCCCCATCATACTGAATGTCATATTAAATGACAATCCTTAGGAAATAGACAAGTCACAAAGCGCAGATTAGAAATATTTTGTTAATTTGAGGAGGTTAAAAGGCAGAATTTATTGTCACATTCCTATTGAAGTTGGGTTTTAAAATAATATTAAAAAGGGCACTTACATCTTTGCAGGAGAATGGAATATTAAAATGCACTGGGAATACAGCAGGAGAACATATGGAGAGAAGTCACTGGTGCAAATCACTGCGCAGTGCGGGCCATAGAAGTGGACCATTTTACGGTACAATGCTCAAGAATATGAACAGATATATTGAATTGTGCCCTCCACACCAGATTTTACAAGAAAGAAGTGCATGAGAGTGTGAAGCCCATTATCATAACCTTGAGAAAGGAAATAATTGACCTGAATGCTACTGAAACAGTGACAGATTGAGACAGATACTTGTTATTTGCAAGAAAGCTTTTGCACTAATATTAAGGTTTCCAAGTTGACATCCTCACATGCAGTTCCAACAATGCTACAAGCCATTTCTCTCTTTCCTCCTCTGTGATGCCTTTGAGAATAAATCAGGCTGTGGCACCCAGAGAACCCATGGCTTTCTGTTCAAACCTTACCTTTTTGACACTCTGTAATTGGCTACAGTTAGAACACCCGTTTTAGGGTCACGCACTGTTGCTCGAGCCAGCTGTGTTGAAAAAAAGATTATGATAAATCACAGGACAAGCACAAATAAAGGCAACACACAAAGCCTCCAGGTTTTAGTTTTGATTGGCTATTTCTTTTGGTGGCAGGCAGTTAACAGGTAGGAGTATAAGGTTAAAACAAAAGCCAATCAAAAACCCTGTTTGCTTTGCTTGCCATGGCAATCATCTTACCTCTTACTGATTCTATAGTTCGCTGTCTCTAGGATCCCAGTGACTGAGTTCCTAACTGTGGCTCTGGCTAACTGTGAGATTGAAAAATCAGAAGGTAAGTTGGCTCTTTGCACAAGAAAAGTAGACTGACAAGTGAATAACTTGACCATTTTAAGGTGAATTCCTAGTCTAAGCACTATTTGACCAGTCTGTCCCTTAAACTGCCTTCAATTACAAGACTGACAAACTTATGTCAGAGACTCCAATTAGCCATTCAGAGCGAGCAACTCACACCCTATCAGGAGACAGTGGGTTTTGGCACTGGATCATACCCTTTACAACGGTTGGTGGCCATAATATTCTTTACCACCAAGGTAGGGAATACAGAGATCCAAGCCAATTTGATATGGGCTGAGTGCAGGGAAATGGGGTTAGCGCAGATGGACACGTTGGTCGGCATGGATCAGTTTGGGCCGAAGGGCCTGTCTCCGTGTTGTAGGACTCTATGACTCTATGGCACCATTGTCAAAAACAGCAGCTAAAGATAATAAACAGTGAACATTGGGAGGGAAGGCAGCAAATGAAGATTCAACCCTCTGCATGCTTCCAGGCACTTTGCAGCACCAGCCGATCACTATTTCATCGCCACGTTACTTTCATACAGTAAAAAAAATTACCAAAGCAGTTAAATTATTAAAACTCCACTGGTTCTCTGAAGTCAGTGTTTTTAGGAGAGGCAGCAAGCCCATATTTCAATGGTAGATCAACTGTTAAACTCACCTGTTTTTTGTCTGACCTGAATATTTACCAGTGTTCTGTGTTTTTGTTCTAGGTTTCATCAACAGTTTTATTCATTTGTTTTTTTTTGATTTACCAACATTGTTCAGGGAAAGGAACACACCACCCTATCTTACACAACATCATATCCATAATCAGTCATACAATACATAATTGACTCATAATATCATTGAGGTGGCTGAGTAGGCCACTTACTTGTAAACAGTCCCTATGATGTTCAATAAAAAGGCAAGAGAGAAGAACAACATATTAGCAATGACCTAAAGCTTTCTTACTTGTTCAAATTCCTGGAAATACACACCTAAAGTGTCTCTGGGAGCACCATCAGGACAAGGGCAACAGCAATTCAGAAAAAGGTTATATCATAAACATATGAAAAGAACGAAGAAGGGTGATAATTACAACCTTCCTGTGTCACCCATAACAGAGAATTTAAAATGATTATACTCTTGAAAAATCAAATGACACCACCATCCATTGAATAACATGAAGTGCATGTATAGAAACAGGCCATTCAGTCTAACTAGCCTGTACCAATGCTTATGATCCACACAAGCTTCATCCCGCCCTCTTTAGCTAACTCTGCACAACAGAATTTTCACTTGGAACATATATAGTGGAACAGACTTAAATTATCCTCAAAATTATGTCTGTTTTGAGAAGTAGTCTCTTTCTAGAGCCTCCGGTCAAAGTCACCTGATTATCGCTGAAAGCAAAATCTGCCATTAGCCAGCACAAATCAGGGGGTGTTTTGAGAACACACATTTATACTGAGGCATGCTGGGCTAAGATACTCATCAGTATACAAGTTTTGTTAACACAGACAGAAAATGAGTTTATCTCCCATTTCTCAGTCAGTGCTAATCCACCATCTGCAAATTATTTAAATTATTGAAAATGGCTCTTAAAAAATATGCAGAAGTATATATTAGTTATCTGGGGATGCAATCATCAGTTTCTTAGTGACTCATATTGAAAAGCTTTCAAAACTTGCTTGTCCTTGTGTCAGAAAAAACAGCTTAATGATCTGGAGCCTCCTCAAGTGTGGACAATTAATGGAAAGCCCCATTGTTAATCACTTCAGCCCTCGGGTGTGGACACTTTTGTGGGTGTCTGCTAAGTTTTCCTGCTCCTAACATGGGTTTATTTTTAACTAGTGCACACATGTTACATTTAACATAACTTTGGCTGAAGAGAACTGTGATTGTTTACGGCTTATAGCACAGAAGTGGGATTTTTAGCCTGACTGGTTACGTTAATGTTTATGCTCCACACTAAACTTTCAGCATCACCAGCACATCCTTCTACTTCTTCCTATTACGTTCCTTTATCTGACTGACCCTTTAAATACATCTACTCCAAGTGTTATCAATGCCATTCTTTCACTAGTCTTTGGACAACCCTCATTGGGATTGCTTGCAGGATCGTTGGGGGCAAACTCTTTGGTCAAAGACAATGTGGGAGTCAGCAGTGGGAAAGTGGCCTCATTGACAGCTATCCCCTGCCCCAGCTTCCCCTCAAAATGACCACCTCCTGCCAGCAATCACTTGTGCCACGGTTTCCCCTCAATTCGCAGCCTTGGGTGGTGTATTGCCAACAGCGACTTCCACCGCTCCCCCAAGCTCTTTGGCGGGCCACTAAAAGGAAAGGGATACCAGCTTTGATTGGTTAGGAACCCTGACAAGCAACAGTTCTGCCCCCAGGGGTATTTGATTCCAGAGGAAAGCCCAATTGAGTGCCCAAGTGGCACTTTGAGCTTTCTTGAAGACAGGTGACGTTGGTATCTTGTTGGCCCCTTGACCACCGGCCAAGAGCACCCCCCCACCCATCACCTCCACATGTTGCACCCCATATAGGGCACAATACAGGTTCACTCTGGAAGACAAAATATTGAGAAAAAAAGAGATTCTGTGCAATGAGGTGGTGAATCGCACAAAGCATATTGCTGGATAGATTCTGTCTGATAATGGGAGATTTAACTGTATTGCCAAGAAGGTACATGGTGTTGTGCATTGTATCTCACAAATGTGCTGCCATTCTCCAGGTCCTTTCATCATGATTCCCATTGTAATACCACATGGATATCAGAAGGCACTGAAATTAGTACTGCTGAGTGATGAAAGTCTGCAATGTGTGAAGAACTCAAACTGGAGGCTTCAAATTTTAAGTTATCAGGTGAGCTGTCTTGTGGTGAGAAATGATACAGTGACAGTAACACATGTGGTTAACAGTTCAATGTGGTTAATACTGGGAGTCACAGGGAGGAGCACAGTCACCAACCTCCTCTATTACCTCAGTGGTTAAATGGACCACTGTGTGAGAGACTAAATTACACTGAAATGAAGGATCCCAGGATTGTGCAATGTTATCCGACCTCAGACATTTAGGATATTTTCACAGTCCCGAGACTATGGAGAGAATTGAAGAAAATGGATGGAGAAGTAATAGCCACATTGGCGGTCTCGCTTAGCAATACTGATAGCAAGTTGGATAAATCACCCCTTTCTGTAAAGAGGGGTGTTACCAACGTTGTGTAATTTGAGAAAGCTCACAGAAAGCAAATGTAGGACACAAATGGAAGCGATGTTGCAAGCCTTCTCCCCGCAACCCTGCCCATTGATCCTTTGCAAATAAAAAGTCTAATTCTCTTGTGAATACTTCAATTGAGCCTGTCTCCACCACACTCTCAGGCACCATTCCAGATCCTAGACACTCAAGTGAAATGGAATTACAGCATGGGAAATATTTTAGCTGTATCAACGTAAATTGTGTTGGTATAAAGATGCACTGGTGTAATTCAGTCAAATATTCTGTCTTCAACTTTTGTTCTTGTATTATCGCTTATAGTCAAATAGCAAAAGCCGAAGCAATTTAGGAATCAGAGTGTGGGCTGGTTGGAGAACAGCAGTTTCTCTGTTAGAGTAGAACTGCCATCCCTCCTGGCTGCCCACTAACAGCCTTTATCGTAGCCTTTCACTGAGATTACCAGCATGCATCAATGGTTCAGTTGCGAGATGAATGGGATTTGGAAAATACAGCCTGAGGGCGTGGTGGATGCAGGTTCAATTGTATCATTCAAAAGGACATTAGACTTCTACCTGGAAAGAAATAGACTGCATGGTTACAGAAAGAAGGCAGGAAAATGGCACTAAGTGAATTGTTTATTCGGAAATAGTAGGAACTGCAGATGCTGGAGAATCTGAGATAACAAGGTGTAGGGCTGGATGAACACTGCAAGCCAAGCAGCATCAGAGGAGCAGGAAAGCTGACGTTTCGGGCCTAGACCCTTCTTCAGAAATGGGGGAGGGGGAGGGGATTCTGAAATAAATAGGGAGAGAGGGGGAGGCGGATAGAAGTTGGATAGAGATCCACTGAGGTCTTTGCGGAGGGAGGAGGGTAACTTCTTCAAGGTAGGCATCCTTAGAAGAGGCTTCGCAATGGGATTAAAATTGCTTCAGAGATATAGGAACTGCAGGTGCTGGAGAATCTGAGATAACAAGGTGTAGAGCTGGATGAACACAGCCCGAAACGTCAGCTTTCCTGCTCCTCTGATGCTGCTTGGCCTGCTGTGTTCTCCTCCCTCCGGAAAGACCTCAGTGGATCTCTATCCATCTTATATCCGCCTCCCTCTCTCTCCCTATTTATTTCAGAATCCCTTTCCCCTCCCCCATTTCTGAAGAAGGGTCTAGGCCCGAAATGTCAGCTTTCCTGCTCCTCTGATGCTGCTTGGCCTGCTGTGTTCATCCATCTCTACACCTTGTTATCTCAGATTCTCCAGCATCTGCAGTTCCTACTATCTTTGAAACAATTTTAACCCCACTGCAAAGCTTCTTCTAAGGATGCCTACCTTGAAGAAGTTACCCTCCTCCCTCCGGAAAGACCTCAGTGGATCACTATCCATCTTCTATCCACCTCCCCCTCTCTCCCTATTTATTTCAGAATCCCCTTCCCCTCCCCCATTTCTGAAGAAGGTTCTAGGCCTGAAACGTCAGCTTCCCTGCTCCTCTGATGCTGCTTGGCCTGCTATGTTTATTCGGAAAGCTGGTGCAGAGAAAATGGGCTCAGTGGCCTCTTTTTCCATGGTAATACTTCTATAATTGTATTCTCTTAACAATGCAAGTGGATAGATATGTGCAACATGCCTAAAAAGATACCTTTTATATTGAACAATGCAATTTTTAAGGCCTACTTTCCCTTCAGCCAAGTGATGAAGAAAGGACCAACATTTGAGTTCACCCAATAAAGACTATACTGTATGTGAAGCGTGAATGTTAGAATCACATAATGATCTGACTGACAGGTGCTGGGTATTGGAAGAAGGCCAGGCAATTTGCTGAAGTTGGTATTTATGATTTGATTTATTTTTTTTCATATCCTCACCCCTGTCCTTGTATTGAACTGAACTGGAATATTTTACACAGATCACTGAAGCAATTGAGTTTATACATGGGTAATTCTCATCTGTGCCAATTCTCTGTGTTTCTCAGCATTCAAATGTTAATGTGACTGGCTGATTGTAATATTTTCCACAGTCAATTGATTCCTCATGCATGTAAAAGAATGCATAAGTGATGAAAGCATTGCTCATAGAAATCTCCAGGAGGGCAGTAATGTCACGGTAAAATATGCAAACAAGAAATGAGATGTGAGATACCACAGTCAGTCTGCTTGCTAGGATCCTTCGTGAGCTCAGGGAAAACACTGATGTCTCTTGAACCTGTTTTATTAATGGATTAACAATTTAGTCCCAAAGGTCAAGCAGTCAAACAGCTGTCACAAACCATAAATCACAACAGGATTATACAGAGCAATGTTGCAATGCATAGTAATGAAATCACATTGGGTTCTTTACTCACCCTGGGCTTGGCTAGCTCTTTAATTTTTTCAATTTCTGCATCAGACAGCATCTCATGGTAACGGACAATGTGCGGACTGTCCCACTCGTCCTCTTCTTTCATCGGGGCGATAATTAAGCGTGGGTGATTGTTGTTATTATGATAGCGGCAAAACAGCCTGCCTCGTCTGCGATTCGTCTGTAGGAAAGTGAAACGTTAATGAATGAAATACTTTGAAAATGAAGTGTAGCTCTGACATGCTTTCCTTCCTCAAATAATAGTCTTGCTGATGGCAACAGTTAGAATAAGGATAAATCAGGTTCTATACTGGCAAATTTGACAGCATGAGCTGGTTTTGTAGAATTGTGGATTCATACAGTACTGTTCAGTCCATTAGGTTCAATGTCTGCCAGCTCAATAGTTTATCGTGGGAACACAAGCCAGGCCTTTAATATTTTATACTTTTGGCAAGGTGTTCTGGCACCTCTGAAGTGAGAAGCACCGGATTTTTAAAACTATCCAGACAACTAAAGCTCATAATCTGGGCATCATTCCTGTGACCCTCTCTAATAAGGCACTCCATCACCCAATCTGCAGACAGAAAACTGTTCCAAATGCTGTCTACACAAGGTCTTGTGCAAGGACAAAATTATACACATTGCATCACACTGAATAACTTAGTTAATAAAAGTAATATCCTATTTGTTAAAGGCATGAGCCTTTAGAGAATGATGTCCAACAATATCACAATATTTTCCGGTTTAACTCCTTACAAAATGCAACTGTGCTCAGCCATGGGCATTGTTAATTATGTAATTTTGTACTTATCAAGGCTCAGCACCATAACCAGAGTATGGTCCATTCCCCAGTAAATCTAAATTCTCCCCCCAGGTCCTAAGGGTTGTACATATTTTTGTACCATTCATAAACATCATTGCTCCAAAATACATTTCATTCATTTATCGAGAAGGTACAAAGGGATGATGTTAGCACCAGCCTTTGTGGAACCTCTGGAAAGTAGCTTCTGAAAAGATCTACAGCCATCAACAACACCACTCGGCCCAGGGGAATGTATGTAGTTTTTAACCCAAAGCTAGCAACTTCGTTCCAAAAGCCACAAGGTTTTGCTTTGCATGATTGTTGATTTCAAGGCACCATATCAAAAGCCCTTCTGAAATCTGAAGCAAAAAATTTCCACTCATCCTCCAATCTACTAACTTTATCAAAACATTCTAGCGAATTAGTAAGACAGGGTGTTCAGTTTCAGAAGCTGCACGAAATGTCTCTGATGATCTGCTTCATCTAGGTGAGAAAGAAATATCTTTCCCATAACTGACATCAGATATCAGGCTTACAGTTCCCTGGATCTGAACAATTGCCCTCTTTGAAAATCAGCAGTAGATCAGCATCCCTCCTGTTCAAAAAAAAAAGACCAGATTGTAGTGAGCTGTTATGGACAAGTGGCTTAGAAACCAGATGGTCCATCTCTTTAAGAGCCTCATCAGACGAATGTGAACTACCAGTGAATTTTTCAACATCATTCCAAACATCCTCCTATTGCACACTCTTTGTGCTTTGACTTTCTGTTTTTGTGTTCTTACCATTTTAATTCCTTCTCCTCTGCACAGAGATTCGTAAGAATCACGTTCAGTTAGATAGTTTTCTGGGCGCATGTAGACTTCCTCCTTTGACTGGGATTGATAGTAATCTTCATTTGCTGGTTGATCACTTTGCCCCTCTTCATGCAGAAAGTTCTTAAAGTAATGGAGGTTACTTTGGGCTCTTAAGTGTGTTGGATCTAAACATGGAAGAAAGTAAGATTTCTTTAATTTAATGACGGCAAACACTTTAACTGCATGATTCAAGAAATTGCTCAGAAAAGCAAATGCTGTTGTGGTCAAACCCCACTGAACTACTCTGTGCAGTACTCATCGCCTACAGTCATCATTAATACGGTGTCCTTTAGAAGTTAAATACATGACCAATAAACATGACTGATGATTTAAATTATGAGGAAAAGTTAACAAAACATTTCTTTGCAGAAAGAAGAGCACCTTTTGCATCCAAATTGTGGTGGAGTTGTGTTCAGTTCCATATGCAACTCCTCAGATACTGAAGCAATCCATACAGCAAGACCTGGAGGAGATCCAAGCTTGAGCTGATAAGTGGCAAATAATATTAACTGCACATAAACGACAATCAATAGCCAGCTACAACAAGAGAGGGTTGAAACACCAACCCCCTCAACATTGACCAGCAGGTGTCAGAGTTCTTCAGGGCTGCTGTGGCACTGGGGAGGACCATTCCTGCTTCTGATGGTGCCAGGTCTGGGTAAATATTTTTATAAAACTACTACCCTATGGGGGTGCTGCAATGTTCTGTTAAAGTTCCAGGGAAGCTTTGTCTCCTTAAACAGGATACGTCCAGTGCCAGTTGCATTCAGGGCAGCCTAATTTCAACCAAGCATGCCTGAAACATTCTATAGGCATGCTATTGATATGTGCAAAGTGCCTAATGTAGTTCAAGCATGGTCCCTGAATGCCCATACTTCAGTCTCTACAAGTTTGCTGGGCGCCTGCTACACATGTTCTTACTGGCCATTCAGCCTCCTTCCACTTTCTATGTGTAAAATAATATGGCTTTTTCAGCAACTTTCTAGCCCAATATGTTGCAAATAATGAAGTAAATCTCAGAGGGTGGCCTTTACAGAGGAAATGGCAGTCTTGCCAGAATTCTCAGCACGATAACCCTGGGAGCATAGAACATTTATTGAATAGATTATAAGAAAATATTCAAACAGTATAGTGGCCATTAAAAGCAGAAGAAGAAAGTCAGGAGTATAGATCCCTTAAAAATGTTGGATATTATTCCCCCTCACAGCTGCTGGTTGGCAATTAAAAAATGACTGTCGCCAAAGCACAGTGAATTTAATAGGAAAAATTCTTAGTTTAGACCTAGTGTAGACTGTATACTTAAACAAAATATCCTGGACTATTTCCAAACTGGATATGCTTCCTTCACAGATGTTCACCATTAAAATGTTATACAAATACAACCTCAGAAACACATTCAATTAATGGATCCAAAACAGATATCCAGCCACAATGATTTAATAATGAAGGATAAAACAATTCACATTGCCTTGATGCAGACATGCCTCTCAAACCTCTGTCAGAAAGTACCTACAGTGCAGCAAATCTATGGCTAAATCTTGCAAACGCAACACAGAAAGGCAGGGGAGTTGTTAAGCAGTGATATTTATCATTAAGATAGGTGGGAATAAAGAAGACCTTCATTTATTTCACTTCGTCCTTTCAGAATACCAACTATCACTGAGTTGGTATGAACTCGAAACATAATTTCAGGGAAGTGGTCAATCTTGCTTTCAAGAAATTCCCAATATCGCCCAAAACCTGTTCTTTGCAAATCTAAATCTATTCCCCTGGGGTTGTAATCCTGTTGCCTTGGCAGATCTGTTTGTATTGTTTCAGGTTTATATAGTCAGTGGTGGTGTGCAGCTGCTGGGCACGTGTATTCAGAGTTTCATTTGAACTGCCTATAAATAAGAATATTAGAAATTGTGCAGAAAGGAAAATGCTGACCCATTTTTAACTCGTGGCACTTGGTATTTGTTCTGTTGTCTGTAACGTGAAGCCAGGTGTATACCTCATCATTTCAGGTCATTCTTCCTCCTGTGAAAACATGACACCAGGTTATAGTCCAACATGTTTATTTGAAATCACAAGCTTTCAGAGCGCAGGTGAAGTCTCTTCACCTAACAAAGCAGCAGCGCTCCAAAAGCTTGTGATTTCAAGTTAACCTGCTGGACTATAACCTGGTGTCGTGTGACTTGTGATTTTGTCCACCACTGGCACTTCCACATCCTGCGAAAACATGAGCAGTAATGAACCCCTCAAACACACCCCACCATTCATTTAGACTATGTCCGATCTGACCTCAATTCCATTTATCTGCCTTAGTTCCGTATCATAGAGTCACAGAGATATAGAGCATGGAAACAGACCCTTTGGTGCAATTCATCCATGCTGACCAGATATCCTAGATAAATCTAGTCCCATTTGCCAGCATTTGGCCCATATCCCTCTAAACCCTTCCTATTGATACACCCATCCAAACGTCTTTTAAATTTTGTAATTGTACTGCCTCCACCACTTCCTCTGACAGCTCATTCCAAACATGTACCATCCTCGGTGTGAAAAAGTTGCTCCTTAGGTCCCTTTTAAATCTTTTCCCCTCTCACCTTAAACCTATGTCCTCTAGTTTTTGACTTCACCACCCTGCGGAAAATACCTTGTCTATTTACCGCATCCATGACCCTTATGATTTTATAAACCTCTATATGGTCACTTCTCAGCCTTCGATGCTCCAGGGAAAATAACCCCAGCCTATTCAGCCTATCTCTTTAGCTTAAACCCTCCAACCCTGGCAACATCCTTGCAAATCTTTTCTGAACCCTTTCACAACATCCTTTCTATAGCAGGGTGACCAGAATTGAGCACAGTATTCCAAAAGTGGCCTAACCAATATCCTGTACAGCTGCAACATGACCTCCCAACTCCTATACTCATGTACTGACCAATAAAGGCAAGCATACCAAATGCCTTCTTCACTATCCTATTTACTTGCGACTCCACTTTTTAGGAATTATGAACGTGTACTGCACATTCTTTTTGTTCAGCAACACTCTCCAGGACCTTACCATTAAGTGTATAAGCCCTGTGCTGATTTGCCTTTCCAAAATGCAGCAACTCACATTTCTCTAAACTAAACTCCATCTGCCACTTCTCAGCCCATTGGCCCATCTGATCGAGATCCTATTATACTCTCAGGTAATCTTCCTCGCTGCTATACCTCCAACTTTGGTGTCATCTGCAAACTTATTAACAATATCACCTATGTTCACATCCAAATCATTTATATGAATGAGAAAAAGCAGCTGACACAGCACCGATCTTTGTGGCACACCACTGGTCACAGGCCTCCAGTCTGAAAAGCAACCCTCTACCAGCACCCTCTGTCTTCTATCTTCAAACCAGTCCTGTATCCAAATGGCTAGCTCTCGCTGTATTCCCTGTAATCTAACCTTGTTAACCAGTCTCCCATGAGAAACATTGTCAAACGCCTTACTGAATTCCATATAGATCACGTCCACCACTCTGCCCTCATCAGTCCTCTTCGTTGCTTCTTCAAAAAACTGAGTCAAGTTAATGAGACTTGACTTTCCATGCACAAAGCTATGCTAAATATCCATAATCAATCCTTGCTTTCCAAATACCCCTTGAGAGTCCTCATCCATTTCAGACTTGAAAGTTTAAATTATTCACAGACATATGGGCCTCAGAATTCCAAACTTCTTCTATCCTTTGTGAACTGCCACAAACATTTGAGAATGAAGATGTCAATTTTGGCTCAGTTTGCATGCTAGCACGCCTGCCTCTCCACAAGGCAGCTGTGGGGAGGCAGGTCCAATTTCACAGGTCTGAACATAAAGCTTAGATGGATGCATAAAATCCCAATTCAGCCATCAAAGGTGGGCAAAGAGGCTCTTAACTGTACTTTGACCAATGTTTATTACCCAATTAATATCCTTAAAATAAATAAACAGGTCATTATCAAATGAGACCTACATGTGTGCAAAGTGTCCTGCATTACTACATTTCCTGCATTACAAAGAGAGTCAATACATGTGGAGCTGAATGTTTCAGGCTGAAACATTGACTTCCCTGCTCCTCAGATGCTGCCTGACCTGCTGGGCTTTTCCTGCTCCACATTTATTGACCCATTACAAAGAGAGTGTTTGCTTCAGACAAAAGGACATTGCACTTTTCGAACTGAGCAAAGGGATATGGAGACAACCAATCCATGCTGCATCCCCATGGCAACACCTCGACCTGAGTTGACAAGACAGGCTTGAATTTAATTACTTGTCTAAGACAGGTAGCAGTTCCTGCTGTATTTCCATGCCAGCCATGGTCTAACTAATCTGCACCCTCTTCCCATGTTGTACAAACTGTTACTTCCTTTCTAAATTTGTTAATTCCCTTTATGTTATATACAAGATGAGTGCAAGACAAAAACATTCAATTTCATGTCCCCTTTGCTGCCAATGTTTACATTCTCTATTGCCAAGAAATAAAGAGTGAATACATTTGAAAACACTCTATTGGCTGCAAAACACATTAGCACGTCCTGAAGTTGTAAAAAACATGAAATAAGTGCAATTTTTTATCCTTATAATCACATGCTATGCTCAGAGCTATCTATTTTGCAGTTGGAAGTTTATGTACATCTCTGATTTATGATGTCTGCAGCTGCGCCAGGATGTTTTCCATGATGTCCAGCCTCAATATTCCCGCCAGAAATAAAAAAGTTTGGAAATATTTACCCATTGTTGTAAAAATGGGGATTGACTAATGAAAAAAAAGGATGAGTCTAGATGCCCTAATGATCTGTTACAAATTTTATAAAGTAAATACGGCTGTTCTGGATTTAATTGTCTCCTTTCCATTACAAGTTAATCCTTGTGCAAGAAATTTTGCTTCTCCTCCTAGCTGCGTTTTAGTCACAAATCTAAATTCAAACTGTCTACAGCAAAAGCAGAGAAAATAGCAATTTTGGCATTTAAAAGACAAAAGAATTCTAGGGTCCAATGTGTCACTGTCTAGGTACAGGAGGGGCAGTGGTGCATTGGTAACATCACTGGACTAGTAATCCAAAGGACCAGATGAATAACTTGGGGAAATTCAAAACATAATTTGGGAATAAAAATTTAGTCTCAGTAATAGTAACCATGAAACTATCATCCATTGTCATTAAAACTCATTTGGTTCAATTAGGGAAGAAAATATTACTGTTCTTATCTGGTCTGGCCAACATTTAATTCCAGATCCACAGTCATGTAGCTGATTGGTAACTGCCTTCTAAAAAGGCCGAGCACATCATTCATTTCAAGGGCAGTGGGGATGGGCAACAAATACTGGCCTAGCCAGTGATGCCAATGATTCATTATAGGATAAATTTAGAAAAAGCTGGCATTTATTGCTCGTTGTGCTGAGAAGGTGGTAGTAAGTCAGATTCTTAACTGAATGGTTTCCGATTGGACCCGAATGGCTGCCTTAATTCATGCAAAATTAAGCTTCCGGTCCATTAGGGCTCTTGTGGTCAATACAGTGTGGAGCTGGAGGAACACAGCAGGTCAGGCAGCATCAGAGGAGC